TTCACAGTACTCACCTTACCTTTTCTCCGCCTTTGTGTCTGTCTGTCCCTTTTAAATCCATGAATCATTATTCTGTCCGCCTCTCGACTTTTTGTGAAGCCCGAGATCAGCTAAAGGGCTAATGATAACTATCAAAACACCTACATTTAATATAAATAAATATTTTTACCTTGCAGCTAGTTTTCTCTATTGGCTTCGATCTAACCCTACATAATCCATTTTTTGCCTTAATGGGCTTCGCAACGTCTCTCAGCATTTAAAACCTGCCAAGTATTGAGGTGACAGTTAAAAAAGCTAAGATTAGTTTGTACAATGAAATTCATGGTAGGTGGCAACAGAACACAAGACCCCAATACAGTCTTAGGAATAAATCGATAGCGACAACAAAAAGTACTGAAATTATGCTAATAGGGGGTGTGCGATAGACTTCCCTCCACGTGGTACACCTTGGGCAACGTATACTCATACGGCGAAAAAGTCTATTAACTGGCAGTTAACTTCTGACTTTCAACTACCACGACCCCACTGAATGTCATATTCGACCACTTCAACAGTACTCATCTTACCTTTTCTCTGCCTTTGTGTCTGTCTGTCTCTTACATCTGTGAATCACTCTTCTGTTCCCCACCCCTCGACTTTCTGCTACTTTGATGTTCTTTCCTCCTTGAAGCCCGAAGTTAGCTAAAGGGGTAATGATAGCTATCAAAACGCCTGCCATTTGAAATAAATATAATATGGTAATAGAGATTCTTGCATTTCAGCTCCACCTTCAAAAAATAAATCTCATAATTTTCTTGCTTCAGTTGTACCTTCTCGGTTTAGGCACTTTCAATGAATTGGATATGAATGGCCGTTACTTGGATGTCTAAGTTTATGATTTTAGGTTTCACGACAAAGAGATTCTCTATTAATCGATAGATTCTCGTCACAATGAATATATAAATTGGTGAGCTTTTCAAACTTTGAGTGAGACTCAAATCGTCTTCAAAACAATGCTCCCCCCTTATGTTAGCTTCTAAATATGTCTGCAAATTGTACGCATACCTCATCTCTACTTACCAATTTGAACAGGAAAGTCCTTCAGCCAGCCATTCTCCGTGCACAATTCTTCCCACCAAACTTCTACCCTTGAGTACCCCATCCCAGCTACCTTCTATTATTTCTCAATTATGTGATAATCGTACTCCTTAGTATTGTATCCACTGACCTTGCACTTATCCTCTTCCTATTGGTGACCTTCAATTCCCCTCCCATCCCACAACAAAACTGCCCCCAATGCCAGTAATTAGTACTAACAATACTAAACAATACTTTGCTCATATGACAGTCGTACGATACCTGAACTAAATCCTCAATTTCTAACATAGGTTATCACAAATGAGAGTTGTCAGGTTGTACATAGTCATAAATGCACGGTGCCAATCACGTCTCCCACCCTTTAAACTCATACAGTTATCGAAACAAAACCGATTTTTGAAAGGAAAGTCTTAATTCATGCAAATGACATTTTCTTTAGTGGGTGATGGGAATCAAGCATATAATCTCCAGATAAGATTCTAAAATGCATGTGCTTGATCAACTAAAGCTAAGAAATAATTCAAATTTAGATTTTGATGAGTTGTATGCGATCGATTCTTCGCCTTTTTGTTAGGGTTCGCCAAATGATAAAACATTGGTAACCTTCAAGATCTAATCATCATACGCATCCCGATAAACCAAACCTCTCTCGGGCATTCAAAACTTCTTAAACGCCCTATCTCCATTCAAGATCGCCTCCTCTACTGTCATTGAACTTTATATCCTTAAATACCCAGGTGCAATCCTATTCCTGGCTCGATGCCAACACTTAAATGGCACTTCGCATTCTAGCTGCCACAGTCAACTCCTACCTATGACATCTGACCTACCTCCGGTTTATAGCTATTCCTCTTCTGCCAACTCTCCTCTCCTCTCACCTTGACCTAAGCCTTATACGTCTGATGACTTCCAATTTATACCCAATGACAAAACACCCCTATAGTGTCACCAATTAGTGCAGCCCAAGTACAAATTTGACCTGCTCTTTTGTCACTCCGCATGAATGAATATGACTATATCAGGAATCAAAAAATCGATACAGACGCATGGTAGTACGAGACTGATTATAATACGCCTAAGTCAAGTAGTTAGCTGTCTTCACAGACGGAGGTCCCGAAACATCTAAATGAAAAGAGTTTGCCAATGTAGCAAGATGGAATTGGCAGATAAAACACATCACAAACTAATTATTAATTCAATTAAACCATCAGTTATTACTCTGGCAGTCATAAGGAACCACTTCTAAATCCTTAAGCCCACGTATTCTAATAACGACAATAATGACACAACAGAGTTAGTAGATCGCATATATACATATATTCCATAATCACCTAAATCTGACAGTTTGAGATACATGGGCTTCAGTCGGCCGAGCGAACAAGAACCGATTTGCATGAAATTCATGAAAAGTGATAACCATATTAAGTTTTCACCAGCTACCAGGTGTGCTACACCGAAAATAAGGGGCTCAAATCTGTTGGGATTAAAACAGATTTACTACAGACGACACCCCTTCTAAGTGAGCCAATACGTACAAAGGTCATACAGGTCAGCGAGCTTTAATTATGTATCAATCATCGCGAAGCCACACATGATGACACTAATGTCTGTTCTTTTTTGTCACAGCACCGTGGCAGTATATAATAGAGGTTGAGAAGAAGAGTGGAGGTGACGGACTGGCGGAGAAAAGGTACTACCAGAGTTGAGGGGAAAAATCCCGATAGGACGCACAACTAGTGTGTGTGTGTATGTATGTGTGTGTGCGTGCACGCTAAAACATATCAAGTCGGATGAGAAAATGGAGGCAAAAAGAAGGGAAGTGAGAGGAGGAAAGCTAAATAGAAAGGAGCAAAAATGCGAGTTTAAGAGAGATTTCACAACTTTAAGAACGTTTTGGCGAGGGCTTGTGTATATTACATTATGGAGGGAGAGGACAGGTCATCAAATCAAGTTTAGATATACAGGTATGATGGTGGCAGTGGTACTAAGGAGACGATTTTTTTTTAATTCAGAGAAAGATGTAGCGGATGTGGGGTCTTTTTCACCCTTTAGATTCAGACCCTTGTTGGGAGCGTAGCACTGGATGTGGGGGAGATGGAATTAGAGGATGAATTGTCATTCCTATTACTACTGCTGCTGTTGTTATTGTTAGTGGTATTGCCCGAGGGGATATCACCAGTGGTAATTGGCTTATTTTCTGAGGTCTTTTGATTCGAGCTATTATTATTACTTTTACTGTCGTTGCTATTGAAGCTGCCAGTTAAACCGTCTGCGGAGTAAAATTCGTTTGTATTTTCATCACCCGACAGGTTCAACTGCTCTAGCCTCCTCCACAAATCATCTCTCTCCTTTTCGCGTCTTCTTTCCCTATAAATAAAAGCGAGGAAACATTATCCCCCCCCAAGATAGCAGCACAAAATGAACAGCACACCAACTCCCGCTTCTTCTATTGCATTGTGAAGATGAAATTGGCTCCGCAATGCAAGCAAGCTTCCTTCGGTTTTTGAACAGTGGAAATGCCTTTTAATGACGAATGATGGCGGCCTTGCGCAATTATACAAACGAGGATTTTGTGCAGCTGCCTTTAAAACTAACCCCCCCTCCCCGAAACCACCCCCTAAAACTCTCAAACGAAGAGGTCTTCCTAAGGACGAGGTAATAGTATTAGCAGCAGCTGCAACTCGTAACTTATTTCCTTTTACATGAATATATAACATTTGAAGCAGCACCAGACAGAGATCGTATGCCAGGCATACGACCACGGTCCTTTCAACAAACGTGATAAGTCCAATGTCGTAAATTTAACATGCATTCTGTAAATACAATGACCAAGTAATAATAATACGGTTCGGTAAAATAGCTTCTCACTCGAAAACACCTCGTATCCGCGATTGATTTGATTAAATTGATGCTTTATTAATTGAGCGCAATTACTTTCAGAGAGATGATCATGAAATTCATTTGCTTAATTTTTGCCAGCAATAGAAGCTTAAAAATAAGGAGATACAAAACTTATCAAATAAATTCATATAATTAATTATTTAGGAATAAAAGGATAACATTCCTGCTGACCTAAATTAGGCAACATCCTGTTTTGAACTCTACTTTCAATCATTTTACTTGAGCACGTTATTACCTCGCCACCCTGGATAGGAAACAAAAATAAATATTAATGAAGTTTTTTCTCATGCATCACATTTATTAAATGCTGTTTCTCTATGTTTCTCTTAAATGGGAACAAACTCACGTAACTTACATGTTACCAGCCGGCAAGATAGTAAATCAAATCCTTTAATTCAAATTATGCATAAACGACTATGAAGTTCACGCTGACTTACAAAGCATAACTCCTCTTGTTGGAACTGGATTTCCATAGCTACAGTATGTTGATGGTGATCTAGTGTAAATAATTCCTAATGGAATGAATAAAAACAATCCACTCTATACCACGAAAGTATCGGTTAACAATGATCAATCATAGAAACACATTCATTTGTCTGTGTGGAAGAAAAATGGTAAAATTATTCACAGTCATTATAATGCTTTGAAAGTGAGATTCAAATTGTAATCAAATTGTCAAAATCGATCTTCCATCGAGCAGAATTAAACTGTGCTTATGTTTTTCCATCTGAATCACAAGATATGTCACTAGTGAGTAGTCAACTCGAACGTACCTAATTTGCACATACTTGAATCATCTGGTATTGAAGAGGCCAGCAAATTAGCATGAAGCCATAATTTTACGGCAAATAGTAAACATGGCTCAAACTAACGCTCAGATGATCAATTTATTTTAGCGTTTATATGCTTGTCTGTGAGAAATAAAAAGACTTCAGGCGTATTTTACAATAATGTATATCGAACTTCAGGAACCAACTACCCTTGATCGTTAGCCCTTTATACCAACCAAGTGTCCTTAGTCTCTAACAATCAATCGACTTCTTTATACACGATGATATTGGCAAAAGATCTGAATTTAGTGTACATGTTCAGAAACGGAAACTTGTTGGAGTAACGAAAAAAATGAAATGGTGTAACAGAGCAAATAGCCACATTTTCAAGTTTTCTTCAACGTAATATTGCCACTGGAAATTTCCAAAGGCCAAAACAGAAATATGCATAACTTGGGTGGAGGAAAGATATTCTGTAACCGCTCTTAATAGCGACTTACATTCCAACATGTCACTCTATTCGACTAGAACTAACCAGGGCGGTTTGTCACTCACATCACAAGGTGCGTGCCGATCCACTTTAATATCATGAACTCTGTCTTCGCCCACGAGTACGCAGAGAAAGTATCCCAAGGAAAGACCGAGAAAGCTGTTCACTTACGACACACATAGACATTCAGCCACTTATCCATGATTTATTTATTATTAGCGAGGCGAAAAAGGCAAATTTATTAAGGCATCTGAACACAAAGAAGACCAATAAGGCGGGTTAGGATGGACATGAATAGGAACTCGCCTCGTGATATATTCGGATTGGGGATATAATTCATTGCTTCAAGAGAGAATGTTCCGGATTTCAATTAGTCGGACACATCCAAAGAACATCTGAGGGGAAGCATGCCAAAGATGTTCGGAGCTAATTATTTGGTTGATTAATTGGAATGGTTAATCAGAGCACTTATGCATACTTTTGCAACAAATAAGCTAAGAGAACAATTAAAGTAGACAGAAGCAACTAATACTATTTTGCATACTGACTACAGTTGGTGGTCACAGAGCAAAAGATCATTCAGTGATTTTTGCTTTGCACTATAGTTATTCAACGGGAAGGTCAAGTATTTTAACGTTCTGAACGGAATTATAGATTTTTAATGAATGAACTGCTTTACTTAGGTGAAAGGTTAATGATCCAGAATGTGGATACATGGAAATAAAGTCTTTACACTGCCCTGTCTAAATTATGTGTACATGCAGTTTAGTTTCTTAATAAAAAGAAGAAAAATCATCTCTAACAAAAGAGTCTTCCTCCTGCCCCTACTACTACTACCTCTCTAGGTCGGAGCAAGTGAGCTACGCATCATCAAATATCAGTGGTGACAAACCTTTATATTGCTACCATGTGCTCTGAAGAAGGGGATGATAAAGAGGCACGTTTTTCAGAGGAACGGTTTTCTCCTGAAAAGAAGCCTTGAAAAAACATCCATTTATAAAAAAAAGTACATTTTGAGGACTACGTTAATTTCTTGCAGTCAACCCCGATAAGAATAAAAAGAGAAGCACGAAAATCCATTCACAGTAATTAATAAAATCGAAACACATCCACATTAAAATCTCATATCTCGAGAATTTCCTACAAAGTTAAAAACCCAGTAAATTTTATATCCATTACAACGGTTGACATAGGCACGACCTTTGGCAGAGACAAACTGCCACATAACAGACGCACATTGAAAAATTTAACGCACAATATACCCCTTTGCCTAAATAGTCCGGCTTATGGAAAAAACAAAGGAATTCATATACAATGAAATTTTATATTTATTTAGTGTCAGAAAATTTAGAAAACAATAGAATGCTTATGGTAGGTCTGCTTAACTAAATACCAGGCCATACTAAACAAATTTAACTTCTGCGAATAGTTTTAGCTACCCCTCAATTTAATATGCATCTGTAAACATAAAAATATAAGCATATAAAATGAGTAATAAGGAGGTAGCCAAAAGCGGATTTAACAAAGCCCAATTAAATCGAAGAGAAACAAAAAAAAAACAGGAAAATCGTAACGTATAATTTTGTCAAGCAAGAGATCAGGCATACATTCAACAGAGGAACGGTTGAGTTCAATTCGACTTAAAATGTCCATTTTCGCAAACGAGGCAATGTATGAGTAGGTTTAACTTCTACTAAACTATCTTCGAGCCAATCTCATTTGAAAGCGTAAAGCTTTACGACAAGAGAAGCACATTTCTCCCCATTGCAAATAAGTATGAAAACAAGCACATTTTATACGTACCTCTGCCGTTCTGTCTTGTAATTTTTGGTGAGCTCATCAAACAACACAGGATTCATCTCCATGAACGTCTTGAGGACGTTGAATACTAACGCGACGATAGTCTGATTCCAATGTTCACGCGATATTCGATAGAAGGAGGGGAAGAGAATGGGCAGGAGGACTTCATTATTCTCCTCAATCAACGACACCAAGTACTCGTTGTTCCAGTAGTAGAGAGCCCGCTCTGCAACCTACAGAATAAAACAATTAGTATTCAATTAGATAAGCTAGATTACAGCTACGGAGGTGAACTAGCACGCAGAGGTGGAAATATTAACAATAAATACACGGAAAATTGAAGAGAAAGTTGATCCGTGTATACAGTCGGTCGGGTGATTAGTCACACATACTACCCTCCCCTGGTTTGGGGGGGGGGCCTTGGCAATTGGGCACACGTCGGTTAGCTAGTCTTCCAGGCACGCTTAAGAAAGCAGCAGGCGCACATAGGAAATACAAACTGAAGATGAGTCACGCTTGTGCATATAAAGAGAAGGATAGGTAGACGCGGGGCTTTCAAGAAATTGGCATGAGGAAAACGCCTTAAATAGACCTACAAATGTGGGAGTCGGACCGAATCAGTCTACGCGTGCGCTTAATCATGAAACAAATGAAAAGAACATTTATTATGGAGAGCAAAGACAAAAGAAAAGCAACGCTAAAGTAAACATTAGGAAGACTTTTGTGTTGAAAATATTGCAAAGACACTACGTAAAGTCCGTGGTAAAGCCAAGAATGAAATAGTGGGAAATGTCCTTGAAATTCAGGAAAGTTTAAATTCAGTAACTTTTTAATATTTCTGTTCACTAGCAATATTTATCTCTTCCTAAAACAAATTATGAAGTTCTAAAGTTTTGTTGAAAGAGATAGTGTACTGTGATTTGTTCAACTATACTGGTTAAAATAAAGATAAATCACTTATAGAGAGTGAACGAATTCTTATTAAGGCTTAAAACATTTGAGCCCGTTTGGTTATATTACAGTTTAAGTAGGCGAATAACGTATTGGAAAAGAAATTCCGATTCGTTGAGTAGTGTTTACTTAGAGTGAGGCTGAGAAGGAGAGAGAGGATAGGTAATGAGATGTCCGAGTCTCAAAATACTGATTAATACTTACTATTTCAAAATTTTTCTAAGGCAAAATCCTGTCTAGTTTAGTATGAGCTCACTTCGAAAGCCATAAATTGGGTGATTTTACCCGACTCCGAAATCTCATAGTGAACAAAATAATGCCAAATTAATAGCCCGACAAATTGTATACCAGGAGACTAATAAGTAGTTAAGGAACGTCTAGTCGATAAAATATAACTATTAGTTATGCCTTGATTAATCAAGTTATACTTCATCACCATAATATCTGAACAGTGATCATAAAGCACAAACATCTAGTCGGTTCGTGCTTAAAACATGTTAAGGAGATATTCCCAGTTTTGCGTTTTCACAAAAGGACACAACAACAAGTTAAGGAAAGTGCAATCATATGAATTCTGCAGAATGATTGTCAGTGAGAGATAAAAATAAGGAAGATATTATGAAGTAAATACAACCTTAGAAAGTAGCGATTTAAACAATAAATCCCTAAGTGAGGAGAGTAGAGGGAGAGAGGAAAAAAGGAGAGAGGAATTGAAATAAAAATAGTTAGAATAGGCATTGAGCTTGTAATTTCTAACTTTACAAACTAAATGGTAGATTGACATTAAACATAAAGGAGTAACAAGATGTTGAAATTCCGTAAGTAATGAAGCCTTGAACGCCAGAAAGCGTAGCACAAATAACAGATGCACATAAACAAAGCTAGCAAATCAATAAGCTTTATACATTTAAGCGAATTGAACGAAGACCCCAGTTAATATAATTATCAAATAAATAAGTAGAGAAGAAAGCATAGACAATATGTAGGCGTTTAAAGTGTAAAAAAGCATCAAAATTGGTGCTACTGAAACAAAAAATAACCCAATGAAGTACAAAAGCAAGGCTTCAAACAAATGAAACAACAACAGAACAACATAAATTTTAATCACACACACTGAAAGAAACATACGAAATATCAACGATCTAATTTCATGCCACTTTTACAGTAAAATAAATTTAAAAAACTGTCATCACGTGAATTACATAACACTGCCAAATTGCGCAACACAGGAACGGTGCGCGGAGAAAGCCTTGCTAAACAAGGGGAAAGGAGAAGGGAATGCCCGCACGGCGCAGCACGCGCAAACTAGGGCCACAAAAAGGGGAGAAAGGCAACGAAAGAGGTAGGAAGAGGTATTAGAAGTACAACGCTAGCAGTGGGAACGTACGCACGCAGAAAAAGTAATTTTGCATAGTGCGTACGTGTCTTGCTTGTAAATATATTCATATTTTCTTGCACACATCAAGTGATGCAAATTTATTTATTCTCCTCTATTTACAAACAGCCAAAACAAACAACTAGAGACCTACCAAATACATTGATACAAGCCCTAAGAAGGGAGACAGCTCGCAAAACATCAATATTAATAAAGTTTAACTATAGGCAGAGGCTATTTTGGGCCACACCACATACCGCATCACATCACCACCTTTAACCCAAAATGCGATAAATTTTAAACCAAGGTCAAAAGTTAATGATAGATGAAAGGTAGTAATGAACGTGGGACGACTAACCTGGAAGTGGGAGCTGGAGACCGATTTGGCGATTTGGCGGAAAAGAGGGACCATAATCTTCTTGAATTGCGTTGGATCGATAATGTCTAGGATTTCCTCAATTTCACCCAAGAACATGACCTCCTTTTGAGAATAAGTTTTGGGCCAAAATTTGAGCAGACCTTTAACCACTTCCTCAGTGAGAGAGTAATCCTTTTCAAGAAATTGCACTACACAGTACGCCAGCTGAAATACGCAAAGAAGGCGGACAAAATGCAGTGGTCTCGATCAAAAAAAGGCCTTAACGGAATAAATAAAAAACGGCAAGTGGAAGCCGTATTTATCACTGAGGTGTGATTACTTGCTTCATTTATCGCACACAAACATGATACACACGTAGAGAAATTACCATCTTAAACGAACTTAACACAGCAAGCATACACAAGAAACGCGGGACTATTCCAAGAAAAATAAATTTACAATGCAAATGAAAAATAAAATAAATACAGTTACGAAACAGCCCTCAGAACGAAAAGCTTGAAAGTGAACAAAAATAATCAAAAATCAAGAAGCGGATCGGAGAAAATGCAATCAAAAAACTTAAAGACGTACTTGAGCGTGAAACATTCCAAGAGATTTAGCCTTATGAAGAGGGATTAGGACCTTGATAAGAAAACGAGTATGTTCGGATTTGAGAGGCAAGGCAAATCCATTGATAATACTTCCAAGGATTTCCAACAATTCCCCCACTCCATTAAATTGCTCAGTCTCGTAGATAAAACGTAGGAAGATGTTATTTATTTGTTTCCGAATGAAAGACCGCAAACCAAGGAATTTTCCGTAAATACGGTGCACAACAGTCTTTAGAAGATCTCGTTCACGAGGATCTTCGCTATCAAAGAGCTCGAGGAGTTGTAGAACAAATTTATGATCGATATACCGTTTTGCGATGCTAGCTTGAAATTCGGTAGATTCTAGAACGTGAAGAAAGAACTCATAAACATATAGGAGATGAGGCCAAGCAGAGTCCAATACTGGATCATCTTCCTCTGGATCAAAATCTGGATTATCCGACGGAGGTAAAGTACGGAATATATTGCATGCAATCTAAAATAATTACAAAAAAGCAAGTTACGCTTATAACAGTTAAATCGCAATTAGCTCTACATAAGAAACAATAATTAAAATTCTTACCATACGTATAATATCCTGATAGGTGTTTTCGTTGAGAACACCCCTAGTAACAGTGACATACTCAACTAATTCACTAAGACAAGTCCTCTTTATTTCTTTACTCTGGGTATCAGTGAGGGCATCCGAGAAATCAAAAACAACACAACATTGCTGTAACTTTTTGATAAAAAGTTCCTGCTGCTCATTAGCTGGAGCGTCCCGCAACGGAGGAAGTGGTGTTAATTCAGTGGGTGCTTTGGGTCGATAGTGTGATGAACCTTGTGACCTCTTCTGCTTTTTACCTTTGAATTCGGTCTTTGAACGGAAGGGATCGCATTTCGACATATCTTTAGATTTCTGTTAAAATAAGTATAATATTTTAGAACAACCCTGAATAAAGAAATAAAATCTATTTGAAAACTAGTGGAAAAAAGATGGGAAAACTAAAACATCAGACAAATAAAATGCTATAAAATTAGCCAAACCAATAAAAAGACACATTTAATGTTAGATTTTATAATAAGTGTAAAGTACGCACACCTTTAATAACCTTTAAAAACTATTGTAAGAAAATACCCAGCAACGATTATCAAAATCAGTACGAGAGCGCCAAAAAGCGAAAGATTAACACTTTAAAACAAAAGACTACGAATTATCTTAGGCTTAAAGTAAATTAACGTTTGAATATAAGTGCTTTAAATGCTTTATAAATTATTGATTTCAAGAATAATCTGCATTATTCAAAACTAATTAATATTTTGATATATGCTTTAATTGACATATGTGTGGAGCATAATTGAGAAAATAATTAACTTCATACAATCGCTTATGAATTTTTTCTATAAATGATAGAACCATTTCTATAATATACAGTTTTGAAGAGTCCAACGCTGTCATGGCATTACGAGGAAAGCTAATGCGCATTCAGGCAGACTCCAATTTGTGTCCACGCTGCTTAACGCGTAGGAGCCATGTGCGGTCGTGAGCGCAGAAACCTCTCAGAACATTTATTGTATATAACGACGAAGTGACCTGTTCATATATCACACGACCCAAACAAACACATTCTGCATCGTACCTCCGTTTCCTCTATAGATTTGCATTAGCTTAGCAGTTTCTGGAGCCTTTACGAACTTGAAGATCTTTAAAAAGAGATTTCAAAGATTATGCCAAGGCCTTTTAGTGCAGTAATCTACAACACGCTCTTAAAAAAGAATTTATTATGCTTGAACTGCAGTAAACTGATTATTTCTAATTTTATAACATTGACATTTCCCCTTTTAATAATTTGTAATGCCTGAAAAGTGACAATTTTATTATGGCAATTAACTTTACCTCATAATCAGGGCAAAATGCTACCGTTTCCGACGTCTGATTCAGTTCGTAAGCAGAACAAGACTGGAATGCTCAAAACGGCTTAAGTGTTGCGAGCCTAGTGATGCAAGAAAATATGATTAGGCAAACCAAGCCCCTTAAAAAATCGATCGCTGAGATCGATTGTTGGCACGGTTTACGGCCTTCAAGCGTACTTTCATTTTCAGGGTTTTTATAAGTGAGTTCTTGTTTTCGGCTTTCAGAGCTAATTGATAAACTGTTTAATTTATTCATTTGACCAATAATTTTTGGAAGTGTTTTCGTTTACATACCAAACTTGTGTTAATGTACAGCGTTTTGCTCCCTGTTTCATAAATTGCATTTAAATTTTGAAATAAGATACACCAAATTTAGATTATTTTAAGGAATTTCATGGGAAACTGTTAAGACATTATGTTTGATCTCAAGGCCATTCGTCACATAGATAATTGGCTAACTTTCAGCTGCTTGTCTTGAGTTTGTGAATAATCTTCGAAGCATTGCAACAAATGTAATTGTATACTTTTTCGGATTGAATTATTATTGTAAACTAACAGTGTCAATCTTTTTAAAAATATGTACAATTCATTTAATACATCCAATTAACATTAATATTATGACGTAGGCGCTTGCGGACGGGGAAGGGTTCTATTTATGTTCCTTTTTATTTGCTTAATTTTTAATCATGATATAAATCTTGAAGAAGAATCGTTTTCATATATGTTTTTTCATATTAGCGTCAAAAATGGATGATATTGAGAATTTACCAAAGGAGCTGCAAATTAGGCCTCGTTGTCTTATAGCCTTAACTGGCCTCGCTGTTGAGACTAATCCCTTCCATACGTATGTCTGGAAGTGTTTCTCTCGGAGACAATCCGATGATGTAGATGCTCTCCGATTCATTAATCTTCCCTTTGACCACCCTTACTCCAAAGCTAAACCGAAGGTGATCTTTTATTTATTACTCTTAACTGCAATTTATAAATAATGGATTCGAATAAAAATCATCTGAGTAAGAGGGTGACAGTAAAACTTCTAAGATTTAGGTCAAATTTCGCATTACTCTTCACTTGTTATATATAATTTTTTCCTTTTGAAACGCGTTATTACGCTTTGAGATGGTTTCTCCTCGCATACCCTTAATATTATCTTTTCCCACTTCTGCGCGCTTTTATAGAGTTTGGTAATCGCGATTTTTTGTTATGGTTTATTTAAATTATTGGCAGTTATCACTAATCAATGCGACCTTATTTATGTCTCATGACAATGCGAACAAGTTTTACAACTTTTAATTGTGGAGGAGTATCTAAACACGTGAGAGGAGTGGATATTTTGGTTTTCGAGAGTGTTAATGTCAGTTTGGCTGAGCCAACCAATCAGCATAATCCTACTTCATTTAGACTCCGGGATAGCTTAGTAACTCCCTTTTTCAATTTAATGTTTCATTAGCTTTACCTCTTATTTATTTATCGTATTTATAGGGGTAGTCCAGATGTTTCAATTTCATATGATTTATCGGTCATTCTTTGATCACATAATTGTAGAATTCATACCCAAAATGTCTCTGTTATATGCACGCTTCAATTGTGGCAGATTTTCAATAGTGCTTAAAACAGGCTTCTCTACCGCATTCACATTCCTCACCAAATATCGCCTTGAAAAAGCTGTGTTGGGAGATTTAGAAGCACTAACTTTCATTTATCTTCTCTTGAGCAATCCCATCGTCATTCATTAAGAAGTGTTACGGATATCAACTTGTCTTGATAAATCATTTATTTGCTTATTTCAAATGGCAGGCTTTATGATATCATTAGCCCTTAAACTTTGACTTCAGCTTCCCCTAAGGATGGGGGTGGGGGGGGGGGTACATTTATAGCAGTTAATTAATAGCAGTTCATTAGGTGTCTTCTTGCTAAATCATACAAAACGGCCTTATGTCTTTGCTGGAGTATTAATCGTTTTTTTATCGGTCTGTGTCTGTATGAGTAAATTATCACATTCGATTTATTTTGAAACAGTTTATTTTGATTCATATTTGCACTGATACATATCATACACCCCATTTTCACGTCATTTTTCAATGGTAAGGTTAACCTCTATCATTTCTAAATTTTAAGTGTAGGAAGCAATGGAAAGTGGTTAGCAGAAATCCTGAAAATGCTGAAAGATGAGTGGGGGGGGGGGGGGGGTGGACCATAACGATGCTGTGTGCAACGACAAGATATCAAAGAATCTTTTCCATTTGTTCACGATTTACAGCAAACGTTTGTCTACGATTTCTAGTTCTTATTGGCTGTTTTTTAGTCAAGAGATCTTGATCATGTCGCTTTAATTCATCTCTTGTACGCTAATAGTTAAGAAGGCAAAATGGTCCTACGCAATGACCAACAGTTTACAGTCTAAACGTGGCATGTGAGTTGGCTAATAATCTGGAATTGGCAGAACGCCGTAAGCTATTTTCACTCAAGTTGGATCAAATGTGTTGTCAACATATTTTATCATCCCTTTTAGCATGCATCTCATTACGAATGGTATCAAGTGAAGGGTATAATCAAAAGACATTGGATGAAAAAGCATCTCGACGAGTTGCCCGCCGTAGTTATAGTTTTCTTCGACCTTGAGAACAACGAGCCCAATTGGTCAGAAAAAGTAAAGGAATGCGCTCGCCACGTTGAGCTTGTTCGATCTAATCTCATCTCCAGGGCAACTAAACTCGTAATGACTTTGCTGCAAAATCGTCCCACAAATGAAATTTGCGGGGATATCAATGCGCAGACTTGTATTCAAGAGCTGTCTGAGCGTTGTCAAATCAATGTGAAGAACATCTACCTTCTTGAGCAATCTGAGTTTATGCTAAGTTCAGTCAAGAGGTTAGTTGTAGTTTACTATCATACCTCTCTTTAGACTGAAGGATGAATTATTTGCAATGGCTCACAGTTATTATCACAATGCTGCGAAACGTGTAAAAGCTCACAAGTCAAATCTCACTAAGGCTAATCAGCAGGTTTGCGAACATTTGGGAACAATTGATTTCTTATCTATTGTCTTTTAGCTCTCTGTTCGACATGATTTTAAAATTGCCTTTTTCAATGAGCTGAGGCAAGATTCGACTCTAGCTCTTAAGTAAGTTAACAAACTTTTGACTGAATCCTTAACATTGGAGGTACTTATTTATACTCATATTTTTTTGTTATGTTTCAGGCAATATCGCCAGGCTTATAACAATTTAGTGGAGTTAAAAATGCCTAATGCTCATCTTCTTGAACTTAAAATAGTCGCCGGATTTATAAACTTTAAGGTATTATTTCCACTTAATCATTTTATCATATTAGGTTTTTCAATTCCTTCTACATTTCTGTTGCAATATACGACTTTTGCTAGTTTCATTATGGATTTATTTGGAATTCAAGCCGTAAAGGGAGAGAGGTGGTGGAGAGGTGGGTTTGTGGGCGACGGGAGGGTTGAAATTTTTGAACCAATCATTTTCCTATTGGTGATTTTTGAAACTGTATCACCTTATTTTAGGAAAAAAAGTAATTCTGTAATATTATTTATTTATAACAAACGGCAGGCGTTTTGATAGTTATCATTAGCTTTTAGTTGACTTCAAGCTTCACAGAGGGGAGGAGATACATCAAAGTGAGAAGAATTCGAGAGGGGGAATACACGAGTGATTCACAGATGTAAAAGAGACAGAAAGGGTAAGATGAGTACTGTGTAGGCGTCGAATATGACATAGAGTGGGGGTGATGGTTGTTTGAAGTGAGAAGTCAACTGCCGGTTAATAGACTTTTTTGTCGTATTATTATACGTTGTCCAGGGTGCTCCACGAGGAGGTAAGTCTATCCCACACCCCAATTCTGTAATATAATGGTTACAAAATAGCATATATAGGGGATTTCGATTCTCGAAAGATGTTTTCACCATCTAGGGTTTAACCCCTTAACGTTCGAATTGTTTGTTTTTTTTTGCAAAATCCACCCAACCGCTCTCACGCGTTTCTCACAGCAGCCTACGCAATGAGTTTTTTCGGTATCGAGCAAAGGCCCTAGACGTATTGAGCCTGTTTCAAACGGCAATGGCGTCTTTTGTTACGAGTCTAGTGCTACTGGCCTTAAAGGTTTAGCATATATGATTAAACCCCCCCCCCCCCCCCCCCCNTTAAACCCCCCCCCCCCCCCCCCTATAAGTCAATGCGACGAGAGGTCTAAGTTCAGGCATATTTTTTTTAGGTTGGATTAATAGATTTGGTTAATTTGTGATGCATCGATGGACATGAAACATGTTTCTTCTAGTTTCGCAAAAAAACACCGCAATTGATTTGCCATTGCCGCATGATATATACCGCAGAGTTTTTGTGACCATTTTTTGTATCAAATGCCAGGATTTATGATTGTTGTCATTAGCCCTATAGAGTTGACTCCGGGAGGAACAATGTCGAGTCGAGGAGGGGGGGGGGGGGGGGGGGGGGAGGGNGGGATGGAGAACAGTAGAGTGTTTCACTGATTTAAAAGAGGCAGACACAAAGGTGGAGAAGAAGGTAAGATGAGTACTGTGAAGTGTTCGAATGTGACATGCGGTCAGTTGGGTCATGGCAGTTTGAAGTCAGAAGTCAACTGCCGGTTTGTAGACTTTTTTGCTGTATAAGGTGTACCACGTGGAGGTAAGTCAATCGCGCACCCCTTGTAACCATCGTTATACGTTAGTATGGTGTTATACTAGAAGTTCGTAATTTATATTAGTAACAGAATTATTGATTTGTATTTTCTGTTGTTTCTTTTTAATCAGATCTGTCAAATTGCCTTTCAAATGCACGGCTGGGATGCAATATCCCAATTCCAACGACATATTACAATCTTCAAGAACGCCGTGGGAATGCCCGAACTGGCTTATGAACATGAAGCGTGGCTTGCGCAACAGTGAGTTATCGAGGCCTTTTTATATTGCTTCTAGTGTTGGTGGTGGTGGTGGTGGTGGTGGGGGGGGGGGCGTGGTGGCTCATTCGATGATTGGCCTGACAAGTTTCCTTTCCCATGAAGACTGACTCAGTGAATCAGAGGAGATGTTTTGTTACGAATGCGTGAGATCACCTTGCCTTTTTTATTCAATGTACGAAATGAATGAAGCTATGGATGAAGCTGAATGTCGCTCACACTTTGTCTATCATTGTTAGTCAGAATTATTTCACCATAAAGACACTTTGGGGTTGGAATTTTTTGGTCGCGATTCGAGCATTCCATTTCTCCAACGTGTATTTGATCTGCTCTGTTATGTTTCCTTTTTTAGTCCTGAAACTACTTTTGCAGTTGATCGAAGGGGTATTCTATAAAGGCAGGCGAAGAGTATTGATCCATTTTTCACTCTTCCATGTTCCAGAGTAATTAGGATTGTCTTAGTGTTCTCTATCATCACCTTCTAGGCAAAGGTTTTCGATTTTTTAGCCTGAATTAGATTTCTACTCTAGAAGTTGTTTTTTTTGTCCTATCATTGTTAAATCAAAACAGTTTGGTACGGAGCGGAAATAGTGAATTGCCTCTCATGGGGATATTGGCTTATTGAGATCTGGGCTTCGAACGCGGGGATGGATTTGGGACGTTAGAATGATGGTAAAGGGTTTGTTTTGTTTTAGATTCGCAGATATATTTGCAAATTCTTCATTCCTCATTCTGTATCGCTTAGACCCGTCTACTCACGCCTCAGAGGTGTGTTTTTATGGACAGCTCTCAACTAACACTTGTTGGCCCTCTTTTTCATAGGCAAAATAGGCCGATTGGGGAGAGGAGGGGGGATTGTTAGGTAATTATGCAGTGGAATTATGCTCGCGTTTTAGCACACGTTAGTGAATCACTACAGCAACTGAATACACGTGAATGAAATCGTTATGGGGTTTATCACGCTTCAAGTCTGGTAAATCAATTTTTAACTAGTATTGTTATAATTACTCGTGTAAAGCTCCTATTTACATCCTCTATCCCTTTTAAAGGCACTTTTAATCAATAATGAATGTTTAAAATAGTTCTAATTTATGACATTTTCTCTATTCCTAGATATGATATCTTTGGCAAGCTCTTCGAAGAAGCCGCCCAGACCAACTGCCAAGCCTCAATGTCCCAAAATGCGGGGCTCTATTTCCATGAGGCTGGTCGCCACACAATTAACCGTCGTGCACTCGCCATGAGACTTTGTTCTATCAACCTAATATCCACCAATATCAATAGCACTTCTCTTACTCTCTCTCCATCGTCATTACATCAGTCCTCGAGCTTGGGCAGTGGTGTTCACGCTGGAGTCGAGTCTCCGAAACAGTCTCTCACTGATCCCACTTCACATGATGGCTATGATGAGTTGCCAGAGTTCTTTGGACAGAGACCCTGGCGCAATCCTGGACTGACTCCGGAGACTACTGATCCGATGAGAGAACGCGAGGGTATTATGAGGTTGCAAGCTAAGGAAGCCCTTGTTGATCATTCTGTGAGTCTAATTTATTGGCTGCAATGTGCCCAACGCGCACACACATGTTTTTATCTTTTGTATAGTAACTCTTCTACACTGTCGTAATGTATGAAAGGCTAGTTTTTGCCGCTATGACCTATCTGCTCAGTAAGTATCTCTTGGTATTAGTTTACTCAGGCTCAAAGTGTGATATAGGGTAAAAGTACAACTAGTGTCAAGGCTCGTCCTTACTTTTAAGTGACTATTTATGTGAATAATGCAATTAACAACTGGACCTAGGGATGCGTCTAGACTAGGTATCTAGATATTCGAACTGGGATGATGCTCTACATACTGTTTCGTGCTCATACCGCAATTGTCCAAGGTCGTGTTGTGTGCCTTCCTTTTATTGGTTACTTATCAGGTTAAGAAGCTCACATAATCCACACCTTGCCTAGTGTAGGTCAAGGGTGGGTTTACAGGCTATAGGTTTCCATTCCGTGGGAAACTAAGTTGATATTTCTCAGTTAAAATAAGGTTCCAGGTTCATTAGTGAAGGATTTTTTTTGATTGTAACAAGCTAATCGCATTATTGCAATTTTGCGCCCTAATATTACATTAGTGCACAGTGTACAGGGCTAAGTCTTTGAATTTATAAAATAAATCTGCCTCACTATCTTGTGGCTACTATATAATCTAGGCATTTCTATGACAACAGTAGCTCCAACGTTATGGAAGGTAGAAACCTAACTCGGATATTGGAAGGGGATGGCTTGGCTTGATTGCATACATACAGCTCCACATATGGGGGATTTGGAAGTTATGAGAGACGAGAGAACAGAAATTGAGATGCTTTGCGAAGAACAAATTCTATTCAAAACAATGAAAGTATTCCATCTTCCGTTCTATGATCTTGTATTGCCGATTAATAATGGCTATCAAAGATTAGAAAATCTAAACAAAATAAATATATGGACTCTATAGATTATTTAATTTTAATAATTTAATTTTTTTTATAAAAAAGTGAATAAAACGCATATCTGTTTTGTAATTATTTATTAGGGTATTGTCATACTCGAAAAACTTTCCTGGCTTCAACTTATCTGAAGCCCTGACCATGTACTAATTAGTAAGTATTAGGATTCTCAGAATATTGATCGAGCGGTAAATTACTGGAGAGATTTGGTATCTCAAGCTTCTAAAGCGCTAAAAGTGCCCCTGTGTACGTTAGAGTTCACGAGATCGATTCTCATTGGTTCCCCACGAGACTATCAATCGCAGTCGTCTACTCCTGTCAATGTGATTGGTGGTGGAATGCCAACTCCCACTATAAAAGCGGCTTCGTAGTGCCTTTCCTTTACCCAAGTCAGGTGTTTTTAACACCTAAATGGGCTTGGCAAGGTGTGAAATGCAGAATCATCGCCTTATACTGACATCTTTCTCATGCACTAACCCTGAGACCTTCCTATTGTATTTCCCCACTCCGCATCTGCGAAGTTAGCTCCAAATGTTTCACTATGAGTGAATACTTTGTTCTCTTGTTTATAGAAAATAATTATTCCACTGTTCACTCGTGCTTCGTCATACTATGAAAGATTTGGGGCTAAACGCATTCGGAGCTATTCGAGTAAGTTGGTGACAACATTTTGACCTGTTTTCCCCCGTTACAAATCTGCAATTTGTAAACTCTTTCTTTCTTCTTTTTTAGCTTACTATATTGCAGAGGAATATTTCCGCAAGGGTGAATTTGAGAGTGCTCTTGAGTGAGTTTGTCGATTTTCGCTGAAATTTATTTTACCTCTTTCCTTTTTTTTTTTACTTCCTCTTTTCCAGCCATTACAACAAAATTGTGGACGACTTCCGACGTTCAACTTGGCCATCGCTCTTTGCTTCCATCAGTCATAGAATATATCAGTGGGTTCCTTTCTCTCTGTATATGCATCTATGCCAATAATAATTACATTTAAAAATGTGAGACAGTATAGGCTGTAAACCACAAGGGCTCCTGATTTGAGACATCCTACAACATGTGCAGCTTTGGGGGTCAAAATTAATTACCCCCAAAGTCCATTTAAATATCCTTTTCCAGCACACACATCCTTCTAACTTATTGTAAACTATACACAGAGGTGCTAGAATGTTTTAGTGAAAAATGCGTCTGCAGCACTGTTTTACGTAATTTTGCATTGTGTTAATTGGGGTTGATTAGATAGGCAATCTAGGCCCGTTTGGGGTCGATCACACGAAAGTCGTCGTTTCTCAGGACACTTGTTATGTGGTTTGATCCTGATAGCTCAGATACCACATCCAATGTTCAGCACCCCTTTTGGGAGGAAGGATGCCATCATGGAATTTCCTTGACGAGGAGTTCGATTTCTGCGTCCCCTTTGTTAGTAAAACGTAATTTATGTGATTAGTATCCCGCTCACTAGGTGTTCTTATTTGGGAGTTGAATCTGTGTGACCTCTGACTTCGCAGAAGAATGTTTTTTTTTACCCTTAAGCCAACCGCACATAGAGGTCTTTATGCTAAAACCCATCGCTACAGACTCAGTAATTTAGGTGGCTGAACGCATTGGTCTAATACTATAGAAAAGAAGAATTCTAGAGTGTGGGTTTCCAATATGATCGAACTTGGGATAATTACCGGCTTCATGGCTTCCTTCAACGAGTTCTACTAATCTTGTTAAATGTCTGCAATCGGGGCATATTTAGTGAAGTAAATAATGCCTCACATAAATTATTACTAATCGATAAACCGGGGGGGGGGGGGGGGTGGAAGATAGCGTAGCAGACTTACTTCGAGAAAATGAACTACTAACTTTGCTCGATAGAAAATTGTAAATTGTCAACTAATAATAACGTACTTTTCTTGTGCGTCTAGATGTGCTACTCTACTTGGCAAGAATTCCCTGGTTATTCCAACTGCAATTGAACTACTCTCAAACGGTATCCTCTTTACATTGATAAGTGTATTTATGTGCATATATTATACAAGATATCCCAATAGAAATTATAGATTCACTTATTTTGAGGTAATACCGAACACACTTGCAGCTATTATTCCACAGTTGTGTTGTTACCATTGGTCACGGAAGTCACCGTTGGGTTGTGATTCATACGGAGCCAGCTGGAAATTTCTTTCATACATTTCGAATTCCAGGCTCTCCAAGGAATCCTCCGAAAGAATTCCTTGCGTGTTATCCTTCACCAACTTGTCTAGATCTAAACGACTTCCAATTGTGGCGGCTTTAGTTTCCTCTAAGAAGTGTGATGGGTAATCTTCACATTGATGATCACCATTACTCAAGAAAATGCTAAGTTCCTGTTGAGCTAGTCTTGAGGTTAATGGTGTGGTATCTAGAAATTTGAAGGAATTCAGTTTTTTAATAATGCCAGCATGAAGTGTAAAATTTACAGTCCTTCCATCATGACTAACCAGTATCCTTGCTGGCTTTTCGAGGATTAATAAATGTTCTATGCCACCAAATTTTTATTTGAGTGGCTAGGGAGCGGTGGTGTTTGTAGTCTTTGTCGAGTCTTATTGATTGAGCCATTTGTGCGACAGGATTGTCTCCTTCACCATTCTCGGACAGTGATTTAGGTGGCAGTAGTTTATGCGCCTTTTCGATTTTAGTTTTTTTACTTTTTCGGCGGAACATTGGTTCGCTTTTTTTGTCGATTATGGTGGAAGCGATCTCTGTCACCTGCTCACCTCAAATGCAAGTGATTAAATACATTGGATGATATTATATTAAAAAAATCAATTTTTACCTGATATCGTATTAATAGGCCTTAATTCACTTATCTTTATGGTTGGATCGGAAATGTCAAAATTAATTTTTCGTAAAATAAAGACATCTCCTATCTATCAGTCCATCAGCATTTAAAATTTCACGTAAAAAATGGTAGACAGAAGCGCCCAATGTGGACTGGTTTTTAAAATTCTATTCTAATTAAGAAATAATACACTTCTTTTAAGCGATTTGGGCTAGTCTAGTTTCATCATTTACCGCTCCCCTAGCCAAGTTACTTTTCTTTAGTCTGGTTTTATCAGTTAGAGTTTCGGGGCTTATAAATAGTCGTTCGCTTAATATACGTTGTAATTTATTTCTAATTTCTAACTTTGCTCTCCTGATTCGATATTTGACCATTTAATAACTTTTTTGTTATTTTTGGGGACCTTGTCTTTTAACTTCTTGGGATTTTATGTGGCTTCCTTACGAGAAAATCGCTCTCTTTTATCCATTGGAGATTAACTTGCACACCGCACGCATGCATAAATATCGATTTTCGTTCAATCGATCATTTTTGGACCCCACCCCCTACTGTTCCATCCCCCCCCCCCCCCCCCAATTATTTGCTTATTCCATTTCACGGTGTTAGGCTTATTTTCCCATCAGAATCGTTTTTTAGACCAGTCTGTGATTGCATGACTCAGTGAAACAAAGATGTCTTTATTTCATGACACTTTCCGCATTAGATTTCCTTCCTTATTATTTTCATTCATATCTCCCACTTTTGCAAGTCTTGGGCTTACTGATGACGTTATCTTAATCGCCATTTTTTTCCTTAACTAAAATTCCCTTAAACAGACAGTCTTATTCCACGCACTGATAAGGAGAAGGTACACGAATTGCTATTTTCCGTAAGTCTTGAGACAATTCTCTACCTTCAGTACTCCAACTTCAAGAGATATCATATAGCCTTGTGCTTTTTTTAATCCTGTTAATAGACTTCATCGAATTTGTCAGCGCTGGGATTCGATTCCAACACAGCGGAGATTATCGATCTCACCAATCTCAAAAGTTGTGGTACGCATCTTCTAATTTACAACAACAACAACAGCCAAAGTCAATAAAACATTGACCTCTTTTCTTTTTCTTTCACTGCAGTTGAGGTGAAGGCCCAATTCACCAAAGCTTCATTTACGGTCGACGAAACGGCCAAGCTTATGGTCTTCCTAAAGTAAGAAGTTTGTTCTTTGTCTATTTTTTTTTTCATAAATATTTGTAAGAACCAGACAACTAGAATTGTGAGGTATTCTTCAAATCTGGGGATTAATTAAATTTCAAACCTTTTAAATGTGCTAGTATTTATCTCACTATTGTTCGCTCGTTAGCAATTTGTCATGATGATGACGTCGAGTTCTCAATGCCGATGATGAGGTAGGATCTGCATTCGTTCACACCACTTAGTATGGTCTCGGGTTTTGTTCTCTCCCTCGGGTTTGCTCCACCACCTCATTTGTTACCTATTTTTGAGGATTGATTTAAGATAAATGGCTGCCTTATTAGCAAGTAGTTCTAAATTTGTGGGAGGAGTAGAATTGGGATCGAGTTTTTTTGCTATGCTGTCATTATTTTAGTTGACTTAGTTCTCTAATATCGCATTTTATAGTACATTTTTCATTTCACCTTAATGCCTAACATTCTGGGCTTGTATTTTAATGAACTTCAAGTCTTGTGACGTCTAGACGTATTCCTATTTGCTCGTCGCTGAGAATACAGTAGTTTATAGAGCAAACATAAGTACAGCTGTACGATACGCGTATTAACCAATCATAAAATTCTAATCGAAAAACACTTAAGCGCTCTTATATAAGAAGTTCCAGAACGAGAAGTTTAGTTGAGTTGTGCACCAGCGATTTGAAGGGGTAAACACCACGCTTCCGTTTTTGCATATTTTTGAAGAACTCTACCTAACCTCTCACTTTTCCTTTTGCAGAAGCTTCACGTCATTCCCACTGAGATTTAATGGAATCTCCGTTCGTTTAAATCATGAAGCTCTCCAAGGTGGACCGATTGCTCACCAGTCTCGTGTTTCTGCCGATTTCACAAGTCTCTGCAAATGGGAGCACTCTTTTGATCTCACGCCGGAGGAACATATTAAGACGGTTGTTTTCACTCTAGATCCTACAACTCTCGGATCGGCAGTTCAGGTAAGAAAATGCCCGCATTTGTCTTTTCCTCACCGTAAATTTTATTGAGATTAATTTGAAAACTATAGCATTTAGAGTTACAATAGATTCATATTTGTTTGTTTTTATTGTTAAATTGAATTGTCTCTTAATCTTTAACTATGGTTTTGTTAATGCCAGTCGTGTTTACATTATTTTCCCTACCAAGGATAATATTGCGCCTATTTGTTTCTCATTATTACTCAGTCCCCCCCCCCTCCACTCTCCCCGCCTCCTCCCCTCTTCTTTCCAGACGTTGTGTATCTTTTAACGCTAGATTTTTGTTTTCATAATATTCACCCATCTGTTTTATTCGCAATGTCTTTAAAATCAGCTTCGAATTCCCTGCTTGTTATGCTGCTACCATCCTCTATCCGGTTGTTTATGTTGTCCCCCACGATTTGTCCTTTCTTTTCTTTTGTTATTCACTCGATGATACAAATATCCTGAGAAAAAGTTCCCCTTCCATAGGATTATGTGCCCCCCCCCTCTTCTCAAATTCTGATGATACCTATTCGGATGCAATTAGTTACTTAGTTGGTCACTGGCGGTGAATATAAGCAAACTTATAGGCCTTCATAGGCATTATAAATGCCGTCATTGCAATCAATATGAAATAGGCAAACTTTTTTGACGAATTCGCTCTCATGCACCTTTAGAAAGTGCAAGTGAGCCATAGTCAAATCAAAGTAGATCTCTCTGTGTGATCAATAGTGGACTGATATATGTGTGATATGACTTTGGAGGAGCATTTTAATTGGAAGATCATAGACAGGATAAACTGCAAATCAGTTTGGGTCACCAAGGTCATTTGGTACCCTGCTAAATCCTTACGAAGACCATTGGCCACAATGGGCACTTAAGAAGCTGAGGCACGCTCAATGTCATATTCCATGCGCTGAGGAAGATCGCTATGACCAGGATGTTCATTCCCTCTAATCATTGTACCCTCTATGCTTCTTGGTCCATTTTCCCCTCTATTCACCCCCTTTTTTACCGTTTTATCCGCAATGCCTTATTTTATGAAATGATCTTTAATAAATGCTGACATGTGTTGAACTTCTTATTCGAATATTAGGTATTTCTGTAAGATTGCGTAATATTATCATTCTACCCTGTAAGAGATACTTAATTATAGGAATTTTGGCATTAATTTCCACTAATGTTCCCTCTATTTATAAAGGCCGGTTCCATTGAGCATCTTTTTTCTCAGAATTCGTAGTTTTTAGCTCTGTCTTCGCCAGTGCTGTAGCTATCGAAACCCTCAATGTGGGTTAGAGAAATTTCGCTCCTACAAGCTAGGAGGGTAGAGCCGGTGATGTAATATTTATGTTAATAAACTAGAAAAAAAACTATATTCCACTCAATTTGTTCAAGTTGATGAATGGAAGAATATCAATGGATCCTTTTCCGATCAAGGGTTGTAGCATTAACATTGAAGTGGTGCACCCTGGGCAACGTATACTCATACGGCAAAA